GCTCCACTCATGTCGGGTGATTAAAGGGCGTTACTGCTTGATAAATCTGCAAATAACTGTAAGTATAGATGGTTGTGTGTGTGTGTGTGTGTGTGTGTGTGTGTGATTCCTGCTTCCTTCTGACCTGTTAATGGAGTGTTTATAGGACTCCACAGCATCACTGCTGGTTGCTATGGACCTATATAAGCTTTTACACAGTTGTTGCTATGCAGGGAGAGAGAGAGAGAGAGGAAGACGGAGAGGGAGAGAGAGCCACAGCCAGAGGCCCATGCAGTGGATGAGTCATAGCAACCCCTGTCCCCCTCATATCTCCTGCTTCACACACACACACACACACACACACACACACGCAGGCAGAGAAACGATGAGACACGCAGCGCTTGGCCGTTTCTCTCCAATCGTCTCGGTCGAAGCCGAACCTGTTAACGCGTCTTCCCCGTGGATCACCGTCAATGGCTCATATTCATTTACACCATGTGGTTGCACGCATTGGTGACACACACACACACAGAGAGAGAGAGAGAGAGAGAATTCCCTGGTGTTTTAACAGGAGCTCGTTCGCTCGGTGTGAAGGTCTGTGGTTGAACTCTGAAGGTCAGATGTTTGGATGAAAAAAAACAGTCGAGGGGAATCTGTGTGTGACTCAGGTTAACGCCGGTGACCAGAGTTGATTAGTGGAGTTAATGGAGGCGTCGGTGACGAAAAGGGAAATTCAGGAGGACCTTGAACCAAACAAGACCAGGAAGTTTTTTTTTTCTGGTCCTGGTTCATATCAGGAACTAGTCCAAATACTGGATCGGTTCTGAGACAGTTGGAGTTTCCTGTCACTTCACCCCCCCCCGCCCCCACCCAGTCCTCGTCTTCAGCTGCAGCTCATTCACTCATCAGTGTTTTTTTTTGTTTTGTTTTTTTCACTTAAATGACACTTTATTTACATCTTATTTGTAAAAACATATCAAGATAAATATAAGATCTTATACTTAATTTGACATATAAAATGACGGCCCCAAATTATGTGTATAATTGTATTATTATCTGCAGCTGCTCACCCTGGAACCTGAATAATTTATGTTGGCCTCAGAGATGATAAAACACACCAAATAAAAGGTATCAACTTTGCCTGATTTCACACCCGTCCTCTCCAGGTTCTACTCTGTCCTTCCTTCCTCTTTCGTCTCCTTTTCACTTCACCTCTGCCCTCGTCTCCTTCTCTCTGTCTCTTCTGCTCCTAAGACTCCTCCTCCTCCTCCTCCTCTTCCTCCTCCTCCTCCTCTTCCTCTTCCTCCTCCTATCTCCTGCGTCTTTCTTCCCTTTGGTTTGATGTGAGGTCAGCGCTCCCTGCTCTGCTGCTCACTGACGTGATGCCTCTTCACAAGTGTTATGCAATTGGCATCGCAAAGTAGGGTGAGGGGTGGGGGT